TGGCCTAGTCTGGCCACACCAAGTGGGCGCGGCCATGTGTTGGCAGGGTACCAATATTAGTTTTTTCAGTGGCTTGAGAACTGATAACCAGAGCGTATGAAATGGTCATCCTGTTACACTTATCTTGTTTCCTTTCACGGGGTAAAATGAAAAACGATATAAATGACTGAAATACGTTAAGATGCCATGGAAACTCCTAGTTAGGTCGAACAGATGCAGCGCTTTGACTAAGAATATTATCATCTAGTGGTTAGAACGGAACCCTATCAAAAATAACGTTAAAGTTGTCAGAAGCTCATTTAGTTTTTAAGAGGCTCATATACATGTAAATGCATTTATGAGTATCCCCATGCAATCCATTATAGTGTAGGTAATGCCTTATAGTTCCTCGACCTTGTCTTTGATTTTATGGCCCCTCGTGTTCATTACTTATTGCACCTGAAACAATCGTCATCATCTTGATCATACGCATGCACGTTAATAGCATTATTAGCTGCATCACATTTAGTTAGGCGCTAGTTAGGTGAGTTTGAAATATTTTAAGTCAACTCATACGGTGGAAGAATTACATATTTTCTCAATCGGCATTCTGAAATATGTCCACAAGCAACATGGAATTATATAATTGGATTGTTACTCGTTTGTTACTTGCATTTTACTGCATTACGATCGACAATTCCTCTCCCTTTAAAGAAATAATCCCCACACGCGAAATATAATTAAGCGCAAATGCGTGGCAGAACAAAGCGTGATTGTGTATATTATTGGCAATATTTAATGCACATATCATAGCCCTCCTTCCTCGTTCAACGCAAACGTTCGAAGTCGGTCCTTTGAGTAGGAATTACCGCATTAATGCAAATCCAATATTCAGATATTTGGAGCTCCTATTTGCACGACATTACATTTTAATTAGGAATAAGACATAACCAATTGATCTGAATTCAAAAGAATGCGTACCCCCGACCTTAACTAGCGGATAGGTAAAGCGCACATTGTTAGCAATTATGAAGGTTAATACAATAAAGTTGAGATCTTTAATTTCATTTTCAACCGACGCTTCTGACGCGTACCAAAAATTGGCTAATTCCTTATAAATATTGACCAGGTTCTATTTTAAAATAGCACACGTTAGCTGAAAGCAAAATACAAGGCGTTTTACTTTATACCTACCAACGGTGCCTAACACTCATTCATGTGAAAGGTGAGCCAGTTAACCCCTTTTGTGTTTTGGGGGCCAGATCATATACATAATAGCTGCGTTCATACCCTGCACCATTCCACTGACCGGCTCAGGCGGTGGCCGGCACCTGGGAAGGGGAAAATCGAGTGAGATCAACGACTCAGTGCACTTTTCTCATTATAAACAATCCAATGTGTTCGTACTTATCAGGGTGTGCCAAAGGCCATAGTTTTCAATATTGCTAACTGACAGGATAACTCGGACAGCGCGACCAGCCTAGTATGTTTTGTGTTGTGTGGGGATGGGGTGGGTGACTGGTGGGCTGAGAGTCGTGCTGTAATAGTTCTTTCTTAATGTGTCCTTTACGACACTACCCTCCGTGGGATCTGTGCCACGTTTTTGTTGTGCAAAGTTCTGACAAAGTGTAGGCTGTGACCCAGGTGGTGTATGCCGAACATGGGGGGAGAGTGTTGGTGGCACCCGTGAGCGCCGGCTCAACCACCCGCCACCTCTGGCCTTTATGGTACGCCCACTTCATGCGATCTGAGTCAGGCGTGGCGGCTCCGGTCTTCTGGACACTGTTTTGACACCGGCATGGGCGGGTGAGAGAAGGGAGTGTTCGGTAGATGCAATGCAAGTCTTCTATCATTTAAGTCAACTCTACGCGTAAGTCACCGTCTCTGCACAATCAGGTTATGGAGCAGACGATGACCATAGTCGAAATCAACAGGTCGAACTGCTATGCCAATGGGGCATAAAAAGACCGAATGTGCCAGAAAGGTAGGCTTCGTATATCTCGGTTTAAGAGTGTCTGCCACTGGTAACAGGATAACCAACCAAGATTATTCGTTGCGCGTAAGACCAAATAAAGCAAAAGAAACTTGGGTAGAAATTTTGAGCCATTTTTGAAATTGCCTGGCTGAATCTAAACCTAGGAAGTAAACCCGATAGTTAAATTCGAATAACTGATCAAAGCCCTGGGAATGTCGCATCTCACCGCATTTTCAAAGTTCAAAACCTCATTAGACCGCCTAGTGTTTCCGCAGGTCTTTTCTGTGCGACTCCATACATTAACTTGCCACAATTTCCCTTATCTGCTGATTAATAAAAGTACCCGCGAATAACTAACACTATGTAGGTGAATGTTTTTTTCAAATATTGCAAACCGTTCTCGTTCGTAATAAATACCATTACCGTTGATGAGGAAGTTTGCAATATATTAGGACTTATTTCTACCAGCTGCTGTTCTTAGTAGTCTGACTAGTCTCATTACCTGTTATTCCAAGTTCTGAAAGGAGTTTTGTGATATCAAATTTCTGTAGCATAATCAAAAAACATTTTAGGGGTTCGTAAATGGGTGTCTTTTTGGCCACTTGTAAAATCCAAACTCAATGAAATTTACCATATAAGTGGCATAGGTTTTCCAATAATTTTCGATGTTCTTATGAATTTAAGTAACTTGGATCGAAAAATTACACGAAACAGTAGTTTATTGTATTAATCCTGTAATGAGTCATGCTTTCCTTATTTGTCTTACTAACTACGGTGTCACTTGATTTTGAAAGTGTTTGTAATTATGAGCTGTTTGAAACTGGGAAATGTCTGTTCAAATGGACTTCTATCTGTCCGTATGTGAATGTTTGTTACAAAGTAGCCCACATCCATTGCAAAAATTTGAGTCCAACGTGGTATCTTACAAAAACATAGAAGTATTTTGAGTTTTCTGGCATAGAAAGTATAAAGCTTGTAATATTCAAACCCTAAAAAGATCGGATTCAAATGTACTCATTACTTAAAAAACACTCTTAAAACCGAAGGTTCGCTTTTTTCGACTATAGCATTTGAAGAAGTCGTAAGTTGTCAACAAACAAGTACCAGAAAGGATATCTAGTTCTAGTGATAATGGGCAATGCCCTTGAAAATCCTATTGTTGACATGTCAGTACATCATGTACATTTGTACAGGCACACTTGCAAATCGTTACTATTAAAGTGGTATTAATAAAATGCAAGTGGCATTGTTTTTATAAATAAATCCTGTCTGTAGCTGACGTGGTATTAGTCTGGCCTCAGGGAAAACCTCTTCAAGAATTCTTCCAGGAATTCGCCTCTTTGCTTCTACTAGCAGAAGTATCCGTATCAGATAGCCGTGTTGGTACTTGTCTGTAATGTAATTAGAACTTCCTGTGGATTTTTCAGTCTAGTTTACTTATTGGTACTAAATGTATAAGTTGATGTCGTGCGG